ATCAAGTACTCACATGCAGGTTTTGAAAGCACAAGCTCCACAGTTCCACAAGGAAGTGATGTAGCAGAAATTATATCCACTGTCTTACAAGATTGGATAAATCTTAAGAAGCGATCAAGCATGAAGAGGAATATTCCTCCAGCACCCATGCAGTATATGAAGTCACCAACATGCATGGCAAAAAACACAACAAAAACGACATAGAGTTGATGTGTGTAGAAAAATAGCTCGAAGTTCTACTTCCTTACTCCAGGGAGGGAAGTTACCCACATCAATATCCCAGCTGCAAGGGATATGACACCAGCAAGATTGGCAACACCGATATCTCTCCATTCCAATATCTGCAGGGAGGAGTAAGAAACACATGAATTTGCAGCATTGGAAGCTTAAAGGTTGGTTGACATAAAAAATCATGGGAAGTACAAGTGGAAAAGTGTGAATAGTTAGCAAAAACATTGAGAAGCTGTACTTCCTATAAAGTTGCTTACCAAGTTCCTTTAGGTAGCTAAACTTTCATGTTCAACCAAACACATTTTTCACTTCCTAGTTAATCAATATACATTGTTCATGTAATTTCTTTCTACATTTGTTAAACGGCCACTTATACTAGTATTATATAAGTTTATTGTCCAAGATAGAGGCGTATTGCAGACGCACTAATTTTTAGGCAAGATTACTCACTTGCCCTACCAGTCGGCCCTCCATTGCCCAAGCAATTACATAAAACAATCCATGCAGAGTGAAGAGCACCATAGTAAGATGTCCCAACCAAACATGATATTTGGTGGCATGCTCAAAAGGGATGTCTATAAGGCGAAGAAGAATAGACCCCCTCGAAATGGGGAGAAAAAGAAGTGACAAACAAAACAACCCTATCAGTCCAAGTTTAGCTCCTGACTGCTCCAACATCAAACAGCTGAAATATTAGAAAGGAAATAAATGTAAGATGATACAGTTAAGGTTAGAGAATCAAGTGACAGTAAGACAGATTTCAGAAATGAAAGGGTCATATACGCACATGAATTCAACTTCTGCTAGTATGTGTATATAGATAACAGAAGGCAGAAGTAGTTGATGTTCTTTAAAAAGTGATAATAAAGGCTAAGCAAAACAATCCAAACCTCTATGAGCCATAAATTTTACGAAATGATACAGTAACAGAGAGTAGCGTTTACTATAAATCTGATCACTATATATACCAGTACACAAGGATGAATCTCTTGCATTACAATAGGATAAGAGTTGAGAACATTAAGAGCAGAAAGCAACTTATTTATGAATATGAATTGGGAGCTTGTGATACAAAGCAACAAGGCGATTTCCAGGAGGCAGGTGATCAGACTTAATGTCAACATGATATCAATCTCAAAATCAGGTGGTACTTACACTGTAACAAAAATCATGGTCCATCATAGGTTCTGAAACAACAACTTTCTGAAGTAAATTCTGCAGCTAGTTTATATAGGTGTAACCATGTATGATAAGGTTCACCCTAAATTCAGCTGTTTTGCAAAATATTCAGTCAACTCGACCATCTCAGTCTCAAGAACAGAATAAATTAAAGCTGCAACATATGGGGAAAACCATGCAGTTTGGTAGAATTAAAGCACATTTCAAACTTCAACTATACAGTAGTTTGGCAGTATAATAATTGCTAACTAGGTAGAGGTAACAAAGGTATAACACATAGTAGTAAATTTTTTTGTATTACCTCTTGAAGAAGGAAGTTGCATCATATGAAGAGATCAGTTTCCAGTTGTGTATAGTAACAATAACACAGGCCCAAATAACAAACACAACAACGAGAAGTATCCCTATGAACTCTGCTGCATTAACCACCCCAAACGGTCCGTCCACCATTACAGGTAACGTCCATAAGCGCAAAGCAGGACGTTTCGAGGGCTTGCTCCTACAAGCATATCAGTTCAGGGTTCATAAACAAACTACACAAAGAATTTGAACATCAGAATAAATATCTATCTAGTGTTATATATTATGGTACTCGGACTCTTCATTTCATCACAGACACCCATGTTGTATTTTCAATATTTTCGATAAATTATGGAAAAGTTGTCAAAAATACAGCTGAACCAAATATTTGGACACGTTTCCATGTCGGACATGAGTACCCTAAATCTAAGTGACATAACTTGTAGGACGTATTTTATATAAAATTCAAGATTCATTAAATAACAAGAAAAACTACATACTCTTGAATCTCTTCCTCATCTGAGATGATGAGATACAACATGGCAAGAAATGCCAATAACAGAACTGGTGCAGTGAAAGCAAAAAACAAACTTCCTGCAAATTATGATCAAAATGAATACATTTCGAGTCAAGGAAATTTCGAAAAAAATGCAAAATTACGAAAAAATGCAAAGGAAAGCGATCAGTTCACAAACCTGTTAACCCAAAAACAGTTCCATTAGTAGCATTAATCCAGTTATGATTAACCAAATGAGTCATAAACCCTGAAGGATAGAGAAACATGAGCAAAATCCAGGAAACAAAAACTACCCAAATTACAGATTTCAGAACCCATTTTGCTGATGATTTGAATAATTAAGGTGTTGTTTTCTTCTCAACTTCAGGTGTTTTCAATAGTAAAGGTGCATCAGTAGAGTATTCACCCATACTGAAAATAAATAAATAAAAATAATATAAAAATGTAAGCTTTTCAGAACTAGAATTTTCCCTAATTTAAAAAGAGGGAAGTTGCTGTTATCAGTGGAAAAGGAACAAAATATGTGGCACCCAATTTCATTTTCCTCAATTAATTATTGCAAATGACCCACCTAAATTTAGCAACCATGTTTTATTAAAAAAAAATTAAAAAGTGGTACAAGATGTTGGAACTAGAGCTGTCAATTCGGGTAAAGGGGTAGGATTTGGGTTGGGTTAGTGTGGGTCGGGTCAACTCGGGTCGGTTAATTTTGGGTTAATGTCATAATCTTTACGGGTCGGGTTCGGGTTGGGTCATGCTTGAGTCGGGTAACGTCGGGTCATACAACTTTTCGGGTTTGGGTCGGGTTTAGGTCGGGTTAATAACAGGTCGGGTTACATTCGGGTCGGGTGAATAATAGGTCGGGTTTAATTCGGGTTTTCACGGGTTAAAACGGGTTAGGGTCATTTTCGGGTTCGAGTCGGGTTCGGTTCAAGTCAATAATTTGCGGGTTATAACCAGGTCGGGTCAATCTCGGGTTTGAGTCGAGTTCGGTACAAGTCATATAATTTGCGGGTTATAATCAGGTCGGGTCATTCCCGGGTTCAAGTCGGGTTCGGTTCAAGTTGATTATTTGCGGGTTACAATCAGGTCGGGTCATTTACAAGTCGGGTCATGTTCGGGTACAAGTCGGGTTCAGTTCAAGTCGATTATTTGCGGGTTACAATCAGGTCGGGTCATTTACAAGTCGGGTCATGTTCGGGTTCGGATCTCAAATATTGGATTAATCTGGGTATCGGGTTGATTTCAGGTCTAGTCATATCAGGTTTGGGTACATTTTCTGGGTTGGTTTGTTAACAGCGTATGTAATGACATTCACGTTGACTCATTATCAATTACTTCGCTTATTATAAGAGAAATAATTTCAGATAAGTTAAATTCTAATAAAACTAGATAAGATAAGGTTTAATTTAGATTTTTAGAAGATAAGTTCAAACCCTATTCTAATCTATTCACATTGTTTCCACTCATTGTAGGGATAACAATTTCAGATAAGTTCATATCCGAGATGACTTGTTTTGATAAAATACAATAAGTTCATATAAATTCGGATAAAATAAGTTTAGTTTAGATAAATTAAAATACAACAATTTTTTTTCTAAACTTATTTTATTTGAAATTATCTAAACCTATTTATTTTTTATAAGTTCATATCCGAGTTCACGTTTTTTTTAATGGCATTTTTTTTTAAATAAGATTAAATAGGCAAATGAATAATAAAATTAGAAAAATAAAAGATCAATAAAATCCTTTTAACAACTCTTGTTCGAGTCACCACTTTCTCGAGTACAAACAAGTCAAGTCATGATCGGGTACATGTAAATTATGTGGGTCAGATTATCATCTTATTCAATCATTATCACGTTCAATTCAATCATTATTCGAAATTATTATTTTTTTTTAACTTTTTTTTTTGATTTTTTTTATATATAAAATATAGGATAAAACAAACAAGCCTAAGGTCAAATTGTATTTGTAAACCGTAATTGACTACATTAATGCACATGCGCCTATATAGTAGTAGTATTCGTACACCATAATTGTTTAATTGAAATATATAATGAACTTGCATATAAAAAGTAGTAGTATTCGTAAATCGTAATTACTAGAGAATTGTAATACAAATAATAGAGAATTTTATTGAAAATATTTGAATAAGCTTAAATAGGAAAATAACTCATATAATTAGGGAAAAAAATATGACATAATATTATTTGGAGAAAAATGTGATAGTTTACGACTTAATTAGGTAACAAAATAAAAAAAAATATAAAAAGGAAAAAGAGTGATTAGAGCGTTCAATTCAATCATCAGTAATTCACTCTCAAACTTCAAATTATCACCTTCATTAGAGCGTAGAACTCCTAATATACTAAAATTCTCAGCGCAAATCTCGCCATTTCCGCCATTACAATCTAGCTTTCCTAATATACTAAAATTTAGAGATCCACCCATGGCTATAATTCACCACTGTTCGGCCTCTCTTAGACTCACACAATCCCACTCTCAATCTCAAATCTCACTCCCGTATTCTACCTTCAACAAGGAGTCAAGGAGTGGTAATCAGTCCAATTTTACATTTTAATATTATGCTTAGCATTTTGATTTTAAATAATTTGTTAATTTTACATTTTAATATTATGCTTAGCATTTTGATTTTAAATATATTTAGGGATTAAAACGTTTAGGGCAAATTTTTAGATTTAGATGTTCTTGATAATTTTTAGGGGTTTAATTTGTTAATATGTTTTGGTGTTAAAGGGGTCAAACTATCATGGCGGAGGATGGATTTGATTACGCAGCTGAAAGAGGTATGGTTCATTCTAATTAAATTTTGCAGATTCCATTTATATGCTTCAGTTAAGGAGATAGTGATTCAGAAACAATAAAACGTGAAATTTAATGTATCAATCTTATACTATATGCCATTGTAAAGTAATTGGCAAAAATTAATTGATTTGCATGTATATAGAATCGCCAGATTAGATCAAAAAAAAAAAAAAAAAAAAAAAAAAGAATCGCCAGATTTATAAGTTTCTGGTTTTGCTGTCACAGTTGCTCGATTATAGGTGTTGTGTGTCTCTTTTACTAAGTACTATGTATGAATTAAGAGTAGAACAAAATATTGGCAATCATATGTCTTACTATTACAAAATATATTTCAAAATTCTCTTTATTACAAAGTAGTATAATAAATTATGCATTTTTATTGATCTAACTCCTAATCTTTGCCTGATTGTTTGGTGTAGTGGGTGACTTCGAGTTTGAGCAAGCATCAAATACATGCATGAGTGTTGGAAATGCTACCCCAACACCTGAACCCATCAATCAATATCTCCAATTCAAGGAAAGCGATCTCCTATTTGGCAGAATTTTGAGATTAATGGTGAACATGCTGCATGCAAGTTTTGCAAAAGACTAGTCCAGAAACATAGTGGTTCAACTGGTACGTCTAATCTAAAGAGACACCTTGATAAGTGCCCACTATATAAAGATTCAGGTAAGTCTGATGAGTCTAATGCATCTGAATTTGACCAAAAAGAATACTGTAAGTTATTTGCTAGAGCTATATTGAAGCATGGTTATTCTTTAAGTATTGTTGAACATGAGGGGTTTAGGGAATTGCATACATATTTGAATTCCAAGGTTAGAACTATTTCTAGAAACACAATATTGAAATGGTGCATGACAGAGCATGATGTGTTAAAGCAATATGTTCGTAATACGTTTAAGGCCTTAACAAGTAAAGTGTCCTTGACTTGTGATGTATGGACAGCTTGTACTACTCGTGGTTATTTGTCTCTTACGGCCCATTTTGTGGATAATGACTGGAAATTACGGTCTAAGGTGCTGAACTTTAGGCATTTTCCACCTCCCCATAATGGTCATGAAATTTATAATCTAGTTTTTAGTTTGATCAAAGATTGGGGTATTGAAAGAAAAATTTATAGTATGACTATTGACAATGCAAGTAATATGGATTCTATGGTTGGGAAACTCCAAATTGAATTGGATGCAATGGCTAAATTACCTCTTGACGGTAAATATTTTCATGTTAGATGCTCTGCCCATATCTTAAACTTAATTGTCAAAGAAGGTTTGAAAGTCATTGATGAATCTGTTGCGAAAGTTCGGGAGAATGTGAAGTATGTTGATTCTTCTGAAGCTAGACTTATAAGGTTTGAGCGGTGTGTTTCTAGTTGTAATTTAGCTACAGGTGTAAAGCTATGGATGGATGTTCCTACTAGATGGAATTCTACTTTCTTAATGCTTCGTCGAGCTCTTGATCTTTTACCGGCTTTGAAAATGTTCGGTAGGATAGAGAGCAATTATCACTTGGCGCTTACTGCTCATGAATGGGATATAGTAGAAAAAATGTGTGATTTTCTTGAACCCTTTTATGACATTACTAATTTGTTTTCCGGTTCTGAATATCCCACCTCCAATCTTTATGTTTCCAACATTTGTAGAATTGAGTCACTATTAGTGGCTGCTTCTAAAGGGGATGATCCAAAAACTCAAAGAAATGGCAGATCTTATGCGTTGCAAGTTTGATAAATATTGGTCTGATTACTCTGTGCTATTATCTTTTGCTGCAATTCTTGATCCTCGGTTTAAGTTGAAATTTTTGAGACATCTTTTTAAGGATTTGTATGAAGCTCACATGGTTGAAACAAAAGTTCAGGAGGTGTATCATGAATTTGTTCAATTGTTTAACCATTACAAGGATCCTCTTCCTACTTATTCTTCCCAAGGTAGTTCAAATTCAGATGCATATCGTCCACGCAAGACTAGTAGAGTTTATGCGGTAAGATAACGACAAATATTATCATTATTCAATATGTTAATTACTTTTTTGGGTTATTCTGTTATGAACTTTTTTATTTGTGATTTCAGAATTTTGTTGCTGATGTTGCTAGTGGTGACATGGGTAAATATGAATTAGAATTATACTTAGAATTGCCTTTAAAACCTTGTAATGTTGATGAGGAATTCGATATTTTGGGCTATTGGAAGGAGCAATCAACAACTTTCCCAAGTCTTGGTCGTATAGCTAAATATATTCTTGTGATACCTATTACTACTGTTGCTTCCGAATCTTCTTTTAGCATGGGTGGCAGAGTTTTAAATAGGTGGAGGAGTTCACTCTTGCACAAACATGTCGAAGCTTTGATAACAACTCGAAATTGGTTGTATGGTTATGCTGAGTTGGAGAAAGATGGGGTTGAGGTGGAGAAGGAGAAGGATGTGGATGATACTTCTGCATAGCCAGATTTGTAAGTTGTATTTGAGTTTTTGAAAATGAATGTAATGTTTTTTTAATCACTATAACACTATTATGTCTCTTACTCTCTTATTTGTTTGCTTATCTTTTTGCAGGTGGATGTCACTCACCCTCGTTTGCTCACTGGTTTAAAACCTCAAATTAATAAAGCATGCTGCCTGCTTGAGCCTTACTGTCTTTTTCAGCATTTTAGTTTAAACTCTTTACTTAGTTTATGTACTTGTTCAATTGTAACCACCTTGTTTTGGTGATGAAGAATTGCTATCATTTGAGCTTTTTTTTGCTTCACTTACTCTTTTTACAATCAAAGATCATGAAAAAAATGGCTATATTTTTCTAGTCTCTTGCTTCTTATCTATGGCATATTATGAATTTCTTGCTGATATTTTGTACATTGAATATTGCAGCAGTAAAGTTTTGTGGAAGAACAGCAAGTGCTGAATTTCTGGTCTGCTTTGGTTGTTTCTGTCTTCTTATTATTTCTGACAGCTGATGTTTCTTGCTAGTGCTCTGCTAAAGTCTGATCCTTGCTGGGTTGGTTCTTGCTGGTTCTGTTTGTGTTGTGGTTGTCATGCTGGAAGTGCTGTTGCTGCTTGCTTGCTGCCTGGTTTATCAATGGTCGTTTTTATGTGCTTTTTGTTGTTGCAAGCTTGCTGGTGTGGTGTCTAGAGGTGCTAGTTGTTGTATGTTGGTTCAGGCTGCTGGTGTGTTCTGTGTTGTGTGCTTCTTGCTTGTTTGGTGTATGCCTGTCTTTACTGCTGCCTGTAGTGTATTGCAAGGTGTACTGGTTGATGTTTTTGTCTTCTGCCTTGTTGTTGATGTGCTGTGTCGCTGTTTGCTGCTGTAGCTGCTTGTTGGCTTTTGTCTTCCTGTTTGTGGGGCTGCTGGCTCTTGCTATTGGCTGCCCTGTTAGGAAGTGGTATGTGTGTTTCGCAGGCTGTTTATCTGCTGTTGACAGCTCTAGCTGTGCCTTCTTTTCTGGGTTTCTTGCTGGCTAACCTCTCTTCTGCTGCCTGCGTGTGTGTGTCAGCTGCTGCTGGCTTTTGGTTTGAGTTGGTGTGGTGTCTCTTTGCTGCTGGTGGTCTATTGGAAGTTGGAATTGGTCTGGTGGTCTGCTGGTTTACACAATACTCTACCTTTTTGGTGTAGTAAGTGTAGTGTGGCAGAGACTAGTGGTTCTCCACCTTCAACCCCCTGCTTACAAGTTATTACCCACTAAAACTATTCACTGATCAAGCCACAAGATTGAGGATTTATGACACGAAATCAATGAAATCGGCAACAACAATTGATTTAATTAAATAGGATAGTTAGAATTACAATGTATTTGTATTACAAAGCAATTCAAAAGATGTATTTGCTGATCAAGTCTGGTACGAATGTTGGTAGCCAATCATTTTTGAATAAACTGTAGATGATAACCCCATTGTTGAAGATGCGCATGTCATATATAATTTTATTTTTTTTAGTTATTGGTTGATTCTTTCCTAAAATATGCATTCATTATTTTTTTTTACTTAATCTTATTTGCCTATTATATTGTTTACATTTCAATGATTGTTTTAAACTAAAAGAATTGAAAGACTTGGTAAAAACTATTACTTTGTTTAAATATAAGATATTATTGTTTCGAACAAAAATCTGAAGTATATATAGTCATCAGATGACAAAGTTTCGACAAAACGAGTAGCTTAGAATATATATAGCATATATCTTTATTCAGTATCCGATCTACAATAATAAATATGTATAAAATAACAAGTTGAGTTGATTTCAGGTCAGGTCAATAACAAATCGGGTTGAAGTCCGGGTTTAGTAATAGGTCGGGTTAAATTCGGGTCGGGTTAGTAATAGGTCGGGTTAAAGTTCGGATCGAGTTAGTAATATGTCGGGTTAAAGTTCGGATCGAGTTAGTAATATGTCGGGTTAAATTCGGATCGGGTTAGTAATAGGTCGGGTTAAATTTGGGTCGGGTTAGGAATAGGTTGGGTTGAATTCGGGTCGGGTTAGGAATAGGTCGGGTTGAATTCAGGTCGGGTTAGTAATAGGTCGGGTTAAATTCGGGTTTTGACGGGTTTAATCGGGTTTGGGTCAATTTCGGTTCAGGTCGGGTTCGGTTCAAGTCAATATTTTACGGGTTATATTTGGGTCGGGTCATCTCCAGGTCGGTTCATGTTCAGGTTCGGGTCTCAAATAATCGGGTTAATTCGGGTTTAGGGTTGGTTTCAGGTCGGGTCAAGTTGGGTTCGGGTCATCATTTTTCAGGGTTTAAACGGGTCGGTTAATAATCGGGTCCGGGTCGGTATTTCGGGTCGGGTCAGCTTTTGACAGCTCTAATTGGAACCATTGGTGGCTTTTTCATGTCAATATGAATTTATCTGTTGCTGAAAAAATTGAGGCCACAAGAATTTCAAATGTCCCAAAAAAAAAAAAAAAAAAAAAAAAAAAAAAAAAAAAAAAACAATTTCAGAGGATAATTTTGCAAATTCAAGAATATTTATTAACGAAAATGATGATTATAAATCATCTATATAGAGTTGGCATTCTTTAACACGATGGTACATATCAAAAATAAGTGGACATCAACATGAAGCTAATTAGAGATGCCCAAAATTAAACACGAACAATGGAATTAACATGAATCCAATACGACTCAAATTTTGTTTTAAATATATAATACAAGTACTACATAATAAGGTAATTTTGAGGGGTCTCATATTTACTAAAAAATTATTAATTTATTTATAATTTTACCACTTGATGAACAAAATTAGGGTGATAAACTTGTACTCTCTCCGTCTCAAGATATAGTTCTTGTTTGTGTTTTTTTCACGGTATTCAAGAAATAAGAGGAGAAAGTAAATGAAGTACATTGATAAAAGTGAAAAGTACAATTATAAACAAAAGTTAGAGAGAAAAAACGGAAAAAAGTACAAGACATATAGCAAAATTCAAGAATAGTGTAGGAAGTGCAATGAATAAACTTACAAATATAAACTTAAAGTCAAAGTATAATGGTCTTTATATATTGTCCAAAAATATAAATCGGAATACAATATTGGCTCTCTAAAATAGGAAAATAGAAACTATATTATGGGACAGAGGGATTATTACTTTTATGTTCTCAATAATTTTCCCAAATTCTTTTTTTAATTTTTAAAATAAACTTCTAAAACTCAAGAATCATATTGTTCCTTAAAAAAAATGTTGGTACTTTGGAAGTTAGATTGAAAATTCAGCCCAAAGAAAACAAAATTAGGAATATTATTGAGATTTATGTATCGTTAGTTTTATGTGGTTGTAACTAATTAGGTAGGAAGTAGTGAGAATATGAAAATCACTGTTAATGCATGTACTTTAGAATTGTAACCACAAAAGTAAAATGATAGGAAAAAGAAGTGAACATGTAAGTCACAACTCACAAGTATGAAGGACCTACCAGAAAAGGTTTCGTATATGCATCATGTGGCCATTTCTGGTACAATAACTTGTTTTTTGTACGTCACATAGTGTAGACTCAAACTCTTAAATTACTGATTATGATATCATGACTTAGTCGTAAGGGCTTATGTTTGAGGTCACATGTACAATTTTTACAACTCTTAAAATCTCTTTTTATGAGTTTATATATATATATATATATATATATATATATATATATATATATATATATATATATATATATATATATATATATATATATATATATATATATATATATATATATATATATATATATATACCAGTTTTGTGCCCGTGCGATGCCCGGATTGTTTATTAAATTTAAAGATATATTTTAATATATATGTCAAATTTTAAAACATATCATTGATACAAAATTAGTTAGGAATTGACGTGTTTTTGTGACGATTTAAACTTGTAGACATGTAATGACTAATAATAATAATATTTGTGAAAAATATTTTTTTGACCCTGTCTGAAATGACTCGTGACCCGACCTGATTGACAGGTCTACACCCAGTAATAAAATTATATTGTATTGTGAAATATATTATTTTAATTGATTAGAATATATTATAAACCATGGATGTGGTACGTTTTGAACTAATTTCTTCGCTCCAAAAAAATATATGATACAAAATATAAATTTATATGATACTTTATGGGAGTTATAATCTAATTATTTTTTGAATAAAATTATAATTCAATTTGTACATATGAAATATTGGTACTTTATCAAAAATAAAACTCTAAATTAAGAATTTTATCCTAAATTTCTATCCAAATTTGATTGAAAATAAAATTCTAAACTACCTTTTTTATCCTACAAATTTAATTCTATATAACTCTATCCTACGTGGCACGACACTTGGCAAAAAGTTGAAACACCAAGTGTCGCTGTCTCATCGCCTGGCTAAAAGTTTAGCTTTATATATTAGTTATATGATATATATATAACCTTTTAATCAATTAAAATAACCTTATATATATATATATATATATAACCTTTTAATAATAATTACTACAATATTATCAGGGTAACTGCTTTAAATAAAATAAAATACTAGTAGCCTGTTTAAATGTGACACGTTTCACAATTTTTCATTGATAAATTTCTATATCTAATTTTTACAATTTTTTTTAAAAAAATGATTCAAGTTTAAATTACTTTTTAAAAAAAAAAAGAAATTAAACCCAACTTCCTCCTGTGTGCGACGTCACCTATAACTATAAGCCCCTTCCCACTTCCCGCGGTACGGTGCCACCTCTCGTATCTGTAATCTCCCATATTTGTAAAGATTTTATAAATTGATAGGCTAAAGTCGTAATCAAAAGTAATTCCTAAATCCTCTAACTAATGTCAATAGGCAAGTAGTTCAATTCATAATTAATTATTACAATCTAAACTATTAAGTAACCAAAATATTGTTATTAAAAGGGAACTATACTACGAAGATTAAGATTAGGGAGAAATCAATAATAAAAAGCCTAGGGTCACAGGTTCACCAATAATTAATATTCCGGGATAAAAAAAAATAACAATCAATAATCAACATTGCACATATGACATGATTAACATACTCTCACAATTTATAAATTAACATAGTCTAATAGGCTCTCGCAATTTAATAAATCTAAGTTTCTATTAAAAATAGCCTTTTAATATCAAATTAACATTTGCTCGTTTCATCATTTCAATATTACTATACTTTTACAATCAAATCACATCTGCTCAATGCATAATCTAGTTGTAAAGAATTAAAACAATTCAATAAGAAATTATCATGCAATATCAATAATCAATAATAACAAATTATCTCTTCATATTAATTACGGATCCCCAAAACCCTAGAATTAAACTACTCACACATAATTAAATCTAAACTAAACAAAGAAATAAAAGAAAGCATAATTAAAATCAAAGCAAGAAAATTAACAATAAAGAGAGAAGAAGGAATACCGAAAGAGGGAAGATTGAAATTGCACTAAAAAGGTAAGATCTTGAGTTTAACAATAAACACCAACTAAAAGCTCTCTAGAGTTTGAGTCATGAGAAAAGAGAAGAATGAAAAACGTATCTAAGAGAAGATTACAAGAAAGTATTACAACTAAGCTCGAAGATTAGCCCCAAAACAAACTCCTAAACCGACAAGCGGTCTCAAAGGCATGCAAACAAAATATTCAATTTGCTCCAAACTATTATTATGCTAAATTAGTTGAATATTAATGCAACATATAATTCTAAAATACTGTGATCACTTGATTTATAAACAAGATTAAAAAGGATCCTAAACTGGTTGTCCAAATCATCTTATTAAGTGTGATTTTCAATTACATATTCTTTTTAAACATGCAATATGACGATCATAAAATATAATAAAGCCAATATTAATATTGGAAGCAATTCAACAATAAATTTTTAGTCAAATCAAATATAAATAAACCTAATCATGATGCTAGAAACAAAAATAAAAATAAGAGTAGTTAAGTGATTGTGTACTCACTTTCCGCGTTTCCTTGAATTGTTACATAATGAATAAACTGTTAGTAACTTCAATAAAAATAAATCAAATTGAAACAAAATTAAATAAAAAGTAGATTTGATTTGGTCCAAACCCTCAGTTAATTATACCTTTCACGCCTTGGTTTATGTATAGAACTTTGGGTGTTGTATGGACTCCTTGGAG